TATTTAGTCAAACCAAATTAAAAGTGCTGCTAATCTGCATATTCTATTTACTTTTAAAGCTCCAAAAATGTTCAATACACTCTCACTTAAAACAACAAAACTTTACTCAGCTCTAACTCATATAAACAAAGCAATCCGTCTAATTTTAATAACTTCAACTACTTCTATATTTACAATAAATCATCATCTATCAATTGTTAGCAAAGCTTCTGAAATCTCTATAAACTCAGTAACAATCAAAGATATATCAATAAACAAACAATACACTTTAAATTAACTCAAAGAATATAAAACAATAATATAGAAAAGTAGAAACTAAGAAAAAGTAATAGAACAAGGAGAAAGAATAAAATATTATATTAACAGACAATACTCAGATACGAAGGATAATACAAGCTGAATGATTAATAGTATTCTCTAATAACATATGAGATATCCTAACTTAGATAAGAAAATTATACCTGATTCTGTAATTACTAATTCAATAGAGATTAAAAATACTATTCGAGAGTACTTTCAAGATTAGACCAAAGCTAATCCTCTGAATAATTCATATTGGCAATATTGGAAATATTACTATTCTTCTCTACCTTTTATCTCCTCATCAATATATGATTTACTCTCTGCACCAATCTCAATAGAAGAGTTATCTGCTACAATTAAAGCTTTGCCTATGAACAAAGCTACTGAACCTCTTGAAATCGCAAATGAAATGCTTAAACATCTTTTACCTATTGTCTTATCATATCTTCTTACTATTTTAAATTCTTGTCTCGAATTAGAAATTACTTCTAAGCAATAGGCAAAAGCTAATATATGGCCGATTCCTAAACTGAACTTCAACTATAATCTTTAAACTACTCATCCTATTACTCTAATTGACTATACATGAAAAATTTTTACTAAAATTATAACTAATAGATTAAATCAAGTTCTTCTTTAATACCTATTCTTTCACCTCAAAATTTTATTGCTCTTTCAAACTAATTGACACTACTCCCAATATCTCATCTTACAAGTATATTTGAAGATACAATAACTACAAAAAAAGAATATTAGATTCTATTTCAAGGCATGTCAAAGGCATTTGACTCAGTTCATATTCCTCTCCTAGAAAAAACTCTTAAACGTATTCATATTCCTGAAACAATTATAAATCTTCTCATATTTCTATTTCAAAACTGAACTAACCAAGTTATAACAAGTTATAGATTTACTGACACTTATAAAGTAGAAGATGGTATAGACCAAGGAGAGACATTTTCACCAATCCTGTAGAGAATATACTATAATTCACTAATTCACTGTATATATACTGAATATGAGAGCTATAAAACAACAATACTAATATCCTCATCACCCAAACTTATTCATACATCAGTGATAGCATACATGGACAACTCAATGTGGATTGCTCACACAAAAGAAGATTTGTTAAAAATCCTTGATATTGCTGATTCTTTCTACTATCTTACTAATATTCATGTTAATCCAACTAAATCTGTTCTCATAACGAATACCTCAACTCAACCTAATACCAAACATAATATATCTTACTTGGATACAACTCTGGATGCATTAAACTCTAACATTCCATTCAAATATTTAGAAGCTTGGTTCTCTACAAGCAACAAACCCACACCTGTTCAAAAAGTTATCAACAAAGAAATACATACTTATATAAACAAACTTTAACTAGCCCATATCACAGAAAAATAAGCAATCTATATTATAAATAATGTTATCATTCCTCGATTATCTTATTGACTTTACAGTACTTATCTCTTTCAAAACCAACTCTATTTACTAAACAAACTTTATACTAATATAGTTAGACACAAAGCCAAACTTGCTTGTAGTATTCCTATATCTTTCTTATACTATCCAGAAATCTATTCTCTTCTATCACTCCCTCTTGTACAAATCTCTCACTTGGTTTCTTCTTTATTTCGAAATTTGAACTATACAGAATTCGACTCCTTATTTCTTAAAGCTAAACTACAACAACTTCAAGATTCAACATACTTAAGCTCTTCAATCCTTACATATTCTCCAATATTTCTATCTTCTCAACTCTATATATATATTGCTCAAGCTATACTGGCTATACATAAACTCAATATATAATTTTTTCGCCTAAATAACAACTAGCTACTTCCTTCA